CGATTATTTTTTCCAATAAAATCTTTAGTTTGATTTTTTAAGAAATATAATATAATAAAAATATAACATTTTTTAATCAAAAACTAATGCTAAAGCAACTAGTTTGTATAAATATCCGCTGTTTTATTTGGCGCAATTTGTTGATATCATTACTTTTGTAGAGAAGATAGTTTTGTAGAGAAGATATTTTTGTAGAGACGATATTTTTGTACAGAAGATTTTTGTGGAGACACTATTTTTGTAAAGAAGATACTTTTGCAGTAAAGATATTTTTGTAGAGATTTTTTTCCTCCATTTTTCCTCCATTTTTTCCTCCAAGAAGATACTTTTGCAGTAAAGATATTTTTGTAGAGATTTTTTTCCTCCATTTTTTTCCTTATCCACTCCCTTCCTTCTAATGTTTCATTCCTATCCCTCCTCTCCTTCATCTCTACTATCGCTACCACTCTCCCCCCCTCTCCCTGTCTTTCTATAATCTTTTCCACTTCTGCCTCCCTTCTTAGCCACTCACTGATTGCCTTTTATATACTCCGCTCTCTTTCCTCCCTGCTCTCTCCTTCTACCCCTCTCGATATCGTCCTTCTCCTTCTTCTCTCCTCTCTTTCCCTCTCATATTCTGCTTCTCTCTCATGCTCCTCTTCTTCCTCCTTCCACCATTCCGTCTCCTCCGCTTCTGTCCTCTCCTTCCTACCTTCCTCCCTCTCTCTGCCCTTCCCTTCCCTCCTAACCTTTCCTACGATGTCCTTCGTCTGTTCCTTTTCCCCCTCTCTGCTCTCCCTCTTTTTTGTCTCTCTCTCTCTTCCGCTTCTCCTCTGCTTCTTGCTTCCTTCTTCTCTCTTCCCTCTCTTCCGACCTGTCTTCTCTTCTCCTCGCTCTTTAAACATGTCTCTTCTGTTTCTCTCATTCTCCTCCCTCCTCCTCTGTTCTTCCTTCCTCCTTCTCTCTTCTTCTCTTTTTCTCTCCTCCATCTCGATCTCCTTTTTCCTCTTCTCCTCCTGCTGTCTACCGGCCTCTCCCTCCGTCATCTCCTGTCTCCTACCTTTTTCTTCCTCTTCCTTCTCTCTTTCTACTTTCTTCTCCCGTCCGTGCTCCTCTGTTTTTTCCTTTTCCTCCTTTTTCCTTCTTTCCTCCATTTGTCTCTCCCTCTTCCATCTCTCTTCTCTTCTTTTTCTTTCCTCCTTTCTTTCTAATATCTCTTTTATCCCCCTCAGTTCTGCTTCCGTCCTTCTCATCTGCTCCGTTATCTCTCTCCCTACCTCTCTCCACGCTTCTATCATCGCCTCTACCGCCTCTTTCCATTCTCTCCCTCCGCACTCCTTTTTTCCTCTTTCCGTTTTCTTCCCGTCTTTTCCGTCCATCTTCTCACCTTTGTCTCTCCTGCTACTCCCCGTCTCTTCTTTTCCTCCGCTTTCCCTCTCTTCTCTTCTCTCTTCAGCTCCCTTCCTCTTCTCTCTCCACTCCTTGTCCTCTCTCGTTCCTTCCTATGGAATAACAGTTTTGTTTTATCATTCCCTTTCCTTCTCCCCTTGCATGCGTGCTTTCGCTGCACGCATGTGACCCTAACCTCTACCATTCCACTCTTTCTTATTTCCCCCTTCCTTCTCTCTCTCTCTTTCCTCTCCTACCTCCTTTCCTCCGTCTTCCTCTCTCCTCTGCTTCCTCTTCTCCCGCTTTCCTCTTCTTGCCTTTCTTTACCTTCTACTCCTCCACTTACTCTGACACCTTTCACACTTCTATCTCTGCCTGCCGGTTGCTTTCCACTATGTTATCCCTCCCCTTCGTAGCCGCCATCGATCTCTCCTCCCTTTCGATCTTTTCCCACCGAATCGATCTCTCGATCTCCTCGGCCAATCACCTTCGTTCCCGTCCTTCGACCTCTCGATTCTCTCTCCCTCAATCTCTCGCTCCTTCCTACTAGTCCTCTCCCTCCTGCGCGTCATCTTTTCTCCTCCTTTCTCTCCTCTCCTCTCCCTTCCTACACTCACTGCTCCGTATTCCTGCTCCTGCATCTTCCAGATTCTTCCCTTCTGCTCTCCTTCTGCCTCAACCTCCTTCCTTCTGTTCTTCTTCTATCCTCCACTCTTTCTTCCTTCACTTGCGCTGTCAATTTTTATTTCACTATCGATCCTACCGTCTGCTCCCTCTCCACCTGTGCTCTTCGACCTCTCGCGCTTCTTCTTCCATCTCTCTCCTCTCTCCTATCGATCTCTCGCTCCTTCCGCTCGATCTTCTCCCCACTCCTTGTCCTTCTTCTTCGTTCCGATCTGCCAACCTCCTCTTCGCTTTACCTCCTTCAAACTTCCTTCTTCTTTTCTCCTTCTCGTCTCCTCCAATTCCCGTGCTGCGCCTCCTTGTCCTCCATCCATCTTCATATTTTCTTCCTCTCCAACTCACTTCCTTCCCCTCTTCCTCCGTCTTTTCTCTCAGACTTTTCTCTCACTGTCACCACTTCTCACTCCCAAAATATTATTGTGTTGTTTAATGGATTTGTACAGAAAAAATAGTGAATAATTGGTCAACTGCACAAATAAAGCTTCTGATCGAAACAAGACTTGCATTTGATGACCTTTTTAAAGATCCAAAATGTAAAAAAACTAAATATTGGGAAAAAATTAATGCGGAATTTGCGAAACATGGATATCTGTATTCTGCCGCTGATTTGCAAGCAAAATGGAAAAATCTTTTGGTAAAATATAACAGAAATGTGGATAAGATGAAAAAATCTGGAGAAAGTGCAATTACTTGGGAGTATTTTGGATTAATTCATGCAGTTTTTGGTCACAAAAAATGTGTCTGCCCATCACAAGAAACCTTGGGATATACGCTTGAAATCCCAAAACGTCCAATCCACTCCGCAACGACTTCTAATATTACTAATGGAAGTCTATCAGCGGTCCATAATGCTGCACTTTTAAGTGATAGTGATAGAACAGAATGCTTTAATGAAATTGAAAATTCGCCTATCAGTAAAGCACTTGACGATAGTCCATCTAGTAAAAAAAACCCTAACAATAATAGATTTCGTCAGGATAATGTGCTAAAATTTAAAAAATGAGATGGGAAGAAAAGAAGGTGTGCACGAATGTTCGGAAAGCAGCAATCGCGGATCGTACGGTTCGACTCGACTCGCGCACTAACAAATTTATTTGGCGCCGACACAAGTTCCGACTGGAACTCCTGGAGATGTAAGGTGCGGAGCGAAGGTATTAAATGGATAACTTATCTGTTATTTAATTGCTAACACTCACGGACGTTTATTTAATTAACACACAGAAGAAAACAAACCAAAGGCTGTGCTGAGCGAACAAAAGAAGGTTCACTTACGAAAGATCACCTTGCGACAAGGTGATCTAACGTATTGATGGTAGTCGCTAACATGGCAATTAGACGTAACGGTTTTTTTTTCAACGTTAAGCCTCCACCCGGAGTTGGCTCAAATATCAGGCGGTGCTTCCTCTGCTCGAGAAGATCCAGATCCCTCGGTGGATTGGTCCGGTCTCTACTGGGCACATCGAGATCCACGGATTCTGCGACGCCTCGGAATTGGCCTACGCTGCCGTTACTTACCTGAGGACGGAGCATTCTGGGGCCCGCTTGATCGCGGCTAAAACGAAGGTCGCGCCAATCAAGCAGATAAGTCTGCCACGCTTGGAGCTCTGCGCAGCCACGCTCTTGGCCCGGCTCGTGGCTCATGTCCGTTCTACGCTGGATCTGGGCGGGGCCCCCATTCATCTCTGGCCGGACTCGACCGTGGCTCTAGGCTTTTTTTTTTTTGGTAACGCAGGGGAATCCTTTATGGATACCCGGGCCCCAGGGAGGTCCTCGTAAGGAACGTCTCCCCTGGGGATGGGACCCGGGTTATGTGGGACTGCTCTCCTAATGTCGATCGGAGTGCACCCGGCAGGCGTGCCGGGTGCGTGGCGTACCCACTAAACCCCTGCGGCGGTCTGCGCTGTGCTTTAGATTGGGGGGCGGCCAGGGTTGGACATAGTCATATCATCTGTATACCGCCCCCCGCACTGGCCCGCCGTTGAAGTTGGCGGGCC